CTTCATCGCTGACCACATGCGGAGCGAGGACGACGACCAGAGCGTGAGTGAGGCGAGGGGCGGGGCCCGCGTGTGAGATGCGGGGCTGCCAGGACCGTGGCGTCTGGAAAGCAGCGGCGCGGTGTACACACGCCACGCCGATAGGAGGCCAGGGTGCGGGAAGTGGCAGTCCGTCCGGGGCTCTCGGTGGGCTCCCTGGAGGCGGCGCCGCCTAAGTCGGAGTAGGTACGGGATGATCTTGCGGCTTCCTGAGGACTGGCATCCGGGGCATCATGAGTGTTGCGAGGGTGGCCAGGTAGGGGACGAGCCCGGTGGCCGTGTCCCTGAGAGTCCGTCCCTGCCACTCGTGTTCTCAAGTCTCAGCCGTTAATCTTCAACTCGGCACAAACGGAGTCTGAGGCCTTTGCGCGCCCCACAGGGGCGAGACTGAGGGCAGTGGAAGGGGCGTGGGGGGTGGGGAGAGGTTAAGAGGCTCCCCCAGCCCGCCGGCAGGGAGAGGACACCCAAATCCACACACTGCTTCTGCTCTCTGGGTCGCAGGGAGGGCCTCGTGAAACATGTGCGCAGGTGGGGGCAGGTGGAAGCCAGGGCTTCCCAGCCCCGCCCCCAGCTTCCTGCACAGCCGGCCTTTTCTGCCAGCAGCTCCCCAGAAGGGGACAGAAGGGGACGCCCATGGTCTCCGTCTCTGGGAGCCAAGTATGATGAGTTGACATCCCCCTACTTTGAGCTGTGGCTGGCCCCACCCCGTGCTCAGCTTCCAGGTACTTGGCTAGTTCCAGGCTGCAGCTCAGATGTTGCCATGGTGACTGGCCAGGGTTCCACTGGGACGCTGCCATTCCAGTTTGGGGTTGAGGAAGGGCAGGCTCCTGCACTACTGTTTGGGGGAAGGCCGAGGGGGACTTCGGAGCCTGGCATTTTTGTTTCCGGGAGGGCAGGATATCCGGCTGGAGCTGGGGCTTGGACCAGGGGGCAGGCCCTGATGGAGGAAGAGGGGGCTGGAGGAGCTGGGGTGGGAGCCTCAGAGCCGGCAGGGGACAACGGGGAAATGCGGGGGTAGGGGAGGCAGTGCAGGGCCTCAGCCAGCTGCGTCACGGCTGCCACCTGCCCTGCTGCAGTCCACTCATGTCATGTGCGTTTACTGAGCTGGGCGCTGAGGATGCAGTGACCTACTTGGGTGCTCCACAGGCATCTCAAACTTAACGAGTCCCAGACAGAGTGCTTGAGGTGCACCCCCACCAACTCAGCTCCCATCTTTTAGTAAATGGCATCACCTTCCACCCAGTGGTTCAGACCAAAAACCTGGAGTGATCCCTGACTTCACACCTTCTTACCTTCCCCACCATCCAAATCGTCAGAAGGCCTGACCTGTGAGCGCAGCCTCCAGATAATCCTCAGCCTCACCCTCCTCCACGCTGCCCTGCCCCCAGCCGTAGGCCTCCATCAGCTCTTGCCTGGACCGGGGCAGAGACTCCTCGCAGTTCTCCCACTCAGCGCCTGTGCCCCTCCATCCAAGAGACCAGTGTCCCCCCTCGCCTGTGCCTCCCCCCCGCTCGGCTCCCTGGCACACCTGCTCGACTGTTCTCAGTAAGCCGAGCTCTTTCCTGCCTCAGGACTTTTGCACATGTTGGTCTCAGCGCCTGGAAGGCCTTTCTTTGTTTCCTCTTAAAAATTATTAGTTTCCGATGTACCGTTTGAGAGTACATTGCAGACATTGCGGCCCTTTATCCCCAAAACCCCAGTGCGTCTCTTTGAAGAACAGGGACATCGTCTCGCCAAACCCAGGTTCAGTGATCAAATTCAGGAATTGTAGCAGCGATCCAATATCTAAAGTCCATATTAAAATGTTCCCAATTTTCACCTATATCCACGCCACCCTAAATGAGCCCCGTCCCGTCTCATCGCGGAAGCTAAGCAGGGCCGGGCCTGGTGAGTGCTTGGATGGGAGACCGCCTAGACCAGGTGCTGTGGGCGTAAAAGATAAAAAAGAAGGGATTATAAACTGACGAGGCCCTTGCCATCTGCGAAGTCGACCAAGGGCTGCCTCGCCTGAGAAAAATAACATAAAATCATAGTTTCCCAGTTTTCTCAGTCATACTCTTTGTCGCTTCGGTCCCGCCCCAGTCCGGATCTCAAATTTCATGTCGTTGTCTTGTCTCCTCGGCCTTGTCACTCATGGTGTAAATACTTTGGAAGGGTGCAGGCCGGTGGAGGGTCCCTGGGTTTGGGTTCGTCTGATTGTTTCTTCCTTCAGTTGCTTCCTGCCACAGCTGGCTCCTTCTCATTTATCAGCTCTTACCGTAAATGTCACCTCCTCGGAGGCCTTCCTAGACCATGCCCTAAATTCTGTGTTCTGTCTCTCTGTCTCGGTCCTTTGTTTCCTCATAAGCAACCACCACTGTGTAATTTGTGTGTGTGTGTGTGTGTGTGTGTGTGTCCATCTCTCCGAGAAGACTGTGTACCTCAGGGTGCATTTGTCCTGCTCTCATTAGATCCCCAGTGCCAGCCTGGTGCCAGGCACACAGTAGGCACACATGTGACACCAATGAGTCATTATTCAGCTGCCGAGTAAATGAAGTGTGCAGTGGCCTCCGTCCCATCCCCCAGCTGGCTGGGTGGCCGCTGAACACGTGTCAGGCCCAGACTCAGCCTGGAGGGGGCGGCTGAGGGGGCAGCCCTGTGACAGCGCTCAGACCCCCAGAGGCCACTGTCTTTTTGACTGATTTGTTCACGCCCGGGGCCCAGTCCTCGCCCGCGGGCCTGCGTGTCGGAGGGGCTCCGTGCAGTCATGTGACATGCAGAGGCAGCCGTCCGTTCACTGATTCAACACCCATCCCCGGCACTCTGCGTTCCAGACGCTGGGATTCCAGAGGTGAACCTGACAGGGTCCCTGTGGTTTAGGAGCTCGTGGTGACACAGACGTGCAGATTGAACTGATAATACAGTGCAGTAAAAATGCTGTGACAGGAATGTGTTCGTGGTACTGAGGGACCCAGAGGGGACAGTGGTTCGTTCCGACCGGGGGGTCAGGAAAGCCTTCACAGAAGAGGTGACGTTTGATCTGAGCTTTGGAGGATGTATAGGAGTTCACCAGTTAGAGAAAGGGAGGGCCCGGATTCTAGAACGACGGGGAGCCCAATGGCACAGAGGCTTGAGAGGACACGTGGGGTTTGGTAAGTCAGGGATCCAGCATGGGTAAGGACGAGGGCAGGCTCACATTGTCATGGATGGGTCTCGAGGCCAGACTTGGGAGTTTGGATGGGCCCCGAAGGCCATGGGGCCACCGAGGCTGTTCCGCAGGCAGGGCTGGAGCCATGCTTTGGAAGGGCCACTCTGGGGTGTGGGGAGAGGTGTGTGTGTGTGTGAGCTGAGACCTGCTCATACCCAGTCCACTCCTGCCCTGCACCCTGCGACTGTCACCTGGGCCTCCTTTGTCTCCGCTGTCCAGGTGAGCGAGGACTGGAAGTACGTCGCCATGGTGATCGACCGCCTGTTCCTTTGGATCTTCGTCTTCGTCTGTGTCTTCGGCACCATCGCCATGTTCCTGCAGCCTCTCTTCCAGAACTACACCGCGGCCACCTCCCTCCGCGCAGACCGCTCGGCTCCCAGCTCCAAGTGAGGCCCCGCCCCCGCTCCGAGCTCCCGCACCCCTTCGCCCTCTGTCCTGCACTAGTTTGGGTGGAAGAGGGACAATGAGCCACCAGGAGGAAGGGCGCTGCCGCCAAAGATCCATCCTCTCACGCCACCTGGAGCCCCGCCCCCCGCACCTCGGTGCACACACAGCCAGCGCCCCCCGGAGGCTGGAGCAGCCGGGCGAAGGCTCAGAAGTGGAGGACAGGGACGGTGTCGGAGCCCCGCAGCTTGGGGAGGGGCCGAGAAGGGGGCACGATCATCCCCTGCCTCTAAGTCATGGGAAGGGGTGCGTGTGGGGGGCGGAATGGGGCTCCAGCTCTGTGCTGGGCTGGCCTGACACATGGCTGCTCAGAAGGGAGGAGCGAGAGGAGAGAGGCCTGGTGTGACCCGACGTCCGCCCGGCCCCAGTGGACAGCCGCCGGGCCGGGTGGGCTCACAGCGGGCAGGGGTGCCTGCCCCGATGCTTAGCCTGGCGCTGTGGTCAGGCTCCTGGGGGAAGCTTCCCGCTCAGTCCCACAGCCCCTTGCTCCAGGCCCCCTTCTCCCGTGAAGAGTTCTCTGTCGTTACCCCATTGAACTGACCAGTTGTTTGAATAAATGAGGGATGTTAGTTGTAGGCAGACCAGCCTTTTTGCCAGCAGCAGAGCTGGCTGCCAGGAGGGAGCCAGTGGCGGTGAGCCTGGGGGTGGGGGTGGGGGTGGGGAGCGGCCACATCAGCCCTGCCCCCACCCCCAAACCTGAGCAGGGTTGAAGCAGGACAGGTCAGCTGCTGCGGCTCTCCTGAAAACATCCCATCCTGTGAGTCCCTGGAGGCTGTTCTGACACTGCCCCCAGGGGGCAGCTGGAGGCCACCTGGCCTGTTAGCCCAGGAAACAGGCCTCTCGTGGGGTCTTCTGTTCCCGCCCCATTGCGCGACTGCTCTGATGTGTGGTCCCAGCCTGTGCTCAGTGCCGGGCCAGCAGGTGGGCTGGTCACAGAGGGGTCAGTCTGCCAAGTGCACTGAGGTGCCTGCCGGACAGCCATGCTGTTCTGTGGAGCCCCGCTGGACTCCCATTTCTCCAGGCACAGCGGAGGTTTGGGGGCAGTGGGGTGCTGGAGGCACTGGGCAGGGGTCACAGACTGGGTTCTAGTCCCAGCTCTGCCACTCACTCACTCAGACGTCTTGAGCGAGTCTCCGTCTTGCCAGGTCAGCTTCCTCGCCCGTACCATGGGGACCGTGATGCCCCCTGTGTGGGGCTGCCATGACGATGAGATGACGTTCGTGCAAAAGCCCAGTGCCCTCCCTGGCACAGAGCAGATGCTCTGGGAACGTGTGCTGTTGGGCGGGGGGGGCGGGGAGGCAGAGGTGGTAGGAGTGGGGGGGACCCCCTCACCCTGTCTCTTCCTAGAGCTAACCAGTTCCTCCAGAGCGGGGCCTGGGCCTGGGGGGCTGAGAGCTGCGGTCTCTCTCCGGGTGCCATCAGCAGTTCACCGTTCCTGGGCTGAGCTCCGGCCTGGCCGGGCCTCTTCTGGGTGGGCTCCTGCCCCCTGCCGGTCTGCACCAGTGCCCCTAGGCTGACCTCTTCCTGTCCTGGCGGGGAAGATGTCACTGGGACATGACCCAGCAGCTGGGGGAGATGTCCCCCGTGCAGTTAGCCACCTGCCAGACCAGGCTTTCGGGCGCCCCTTCCGAGAGGGGGGTGGCGTGTCTTGGCTCCACACAGGCCCTTCTGTTCCAGAACAGCAGGCAGAGTTGTACGAGGTCTGCACCCACCTCGAACTCATAGCCCCGAGGCACCCCAACCATGAAACGGTCCCTGGAAAAGACGTCTCCCTCCAGTGGGCGGGGTGCCCACCTGAGGGCCCCGCCCAGCTCTCCCAGCTCCTCCCACATCCCCAGCCTTTGTGCTTGCTTTCTGTGCCTCCCCCAGGTGGCTGTTGTCCGAGGAGGCCAGCAGGTGGGGCTAGAGAGGCTGAGAGAGCAGCTGGTCCAAATCCTCTCCACGCACCACCCATCCACACGGAGCCAGCAGGGCTGGAGAGTGTTTGCTGCCCGGCCTCTACAGGCACCTACCTCTGAACCCTCTTCTGCGAAATGGGTGTGACAGGCTGGGCCCAGGGCTGCAGCAGGAAGAGAGGGAGGCTTCCTGTATATGAAGGGGTAGGTCCCTGGGCAGGGTCCCTGAAGGGAGGGGAGGCAGGAGGGCTCCGCTGCACAGGCCCGGCCTTACCGCGCGTCAGCACAGGGTTTGGACCCTCCAGGGCCCTGCGAAGCTCTGGAGAACCGGGGTTTCTTCCGCTTGGGTCCTGCCCCCGTCCCTCGCTGTGGTCAGGGCAGCCCCTTCTTCCGTGGGGATGCTTTCTGGAGAGTCGGGTACCCAGCTCAGCACTGGGCAGGGACCGAGGGCCCCAGATCCGAAGGAGGTAGGGACACTGGGTTGAACCCGCGCAAGGTGGGCTTGGAGGGAGGCGGTGAGCAAAGGAGCTGGGATGGTCTCCATCAGGGACGGCAGGACCGCAGGCAACCCGATGGCCATTTTTGTCTGAGAAGGGGGCCCGGCATGCTCCCCGCTTTTCACACTTGGCCTTGCCGCAGGAGGAGGGCAGTTTCCTGGCAGTGAGGTAGCTGATACTGGAGCAGCTGGTACCAAGTTATTGACAATTTAAAAGCAAACATGATGCGGGCAGCCCCAGGTGGGAGGTCCGTTTGCTGGGGGGCGGGGGTGGGCAAGTCGGCACCCCCCCGGGAAAGAGGGGATGCCCTGGAGGCTGTGGGAGCTCGACTCCTCATTCCAGTGTTAGCTCTGTGCCCCGGGCTTCGATGCACCGTCTCTTCCTTGCCACAGCCCTGCAGGGGAGGGGCCCTGGTGACAGAAGACAACCAGCTCAGAGAGGCCAAGTGACAGCTGGTGAGCAGCGCTGGGCCCGACACCTAAGCCTGATCTGAGTCCACACTGTCGCTGTGGCCTGCGGCCATTGGAGGAAAGCGAGGGGCATTCAGGGTCTTCTCTGAATTCATTCCCCAAGCCACAGGGGACCGAGTTCCAGCTGTCACCCTCTGCTTCTAGGCAGAGATGGGCCGGTGTCACAGCATCCCTCAGCCCAATTAGTGCCAGCCAGCCTCCCACTCACCTACCAGGCTAGAGGACAAGCTCCCAGCTTCTGATATGCATCTAGCAGGTCTGAGAGGTCAGTGATGGTCACAGGGTTCCTAAGGGACAGTAGGTCTAGGAATCGTTAGGACACCTCACGCACCCCCCCTTGGGGCCCCCAGCCCCCACGCTGGCCTTGGCCTCCTTTGTCTGTGCCCCTGGAACACTCCCACTGGCCTCGCCCTCCAGGCCAGACTCATCGGGAAGTCGGTTCTCGTAAAGAAAAGCTGTTTCTAACGATGTCTTGTCTGTTACATTGGGGGTCAGGGTTGGCAGATGGGTCGAAGAATGCTGGGAAAGCTGGACTCGCAAGAGGTTAAAACATCATAAGCATCTAAAAAAAAGGTCAGCAGAAACAGCTCATCACTGCGATGTTTTGCTTTACAAGTCCATTCACTGGATGGAAATGGCCCAAGGGCTGTAGTAGGGAGAGCCCAGAGATGGCTCCCTGGGAAGACCCTCTGTCAGGAAGGGGGCTGGAGGATGGGGCAGAGCCGAGGACATCTCTTGGAGGCAGGGTGGCCGGGCCCCTCTCAGCCCTGCACTCCAGGAAGTCAAGGCTGCCATCTGCGTGGAGGACAGACCTGGTCCCAAGACACTGGCCAGACCTGGAAATGGCACGTGGTCGTGGGCTTCCCTGACGAAATGCAGGGCGGGCGGCGACGGATAAGCGGAAGTGTCCCGGATAAGCTGAAGTGTCCCGGATAAGCTGAAGTGTCCCGTGGTCCCGCAGGGAGTCTTGAGTCTGAC